AAGGGGGAAGGATTACTTTTCCTTTAAAATACTGAGAATTCTAACAATATCAGAATCCATGGGTAAAGAGAAGAACTAAGAAACACTCAAAACGATTGAATGCCAACGAGATAACCTTTTCATTTTTAGCCTAGGTGCTAGAATGTAATGAAAACATAAAAGGATTTTGTCAAAAGTTTTAAATAAACACATCTGTTATTTGGTTAGCCAAAGATCCCCACACTTTAAGATAATTAAGGGTAGACAAAATAGATCCCAAAGTCTGGAGTGAAGGCACATTATAAAATCCAGTTAAAAGCATAATTCACTGGATGCCAATCACAACAACGCCGCCACCACAAGCACCCTCTCTAGCCTGTTTCTCTGTGATTTTTTATCATTCTGCAGGTAAGCATCATGAACGTTGTCTAGGGAAATCATCCCTGGCCAGAAATATAAGTCTTCCCTCACCTATTCCTAACCCACCACCACACACCTGCTTCTGCCTCCTGGGGCAGGCCATGCACTAGGAAGATGCAGAAAGTTTGGGCTTCATGGCCAGAGAGACCTACGTCCCAACCTAGCCCTTATTAGGAGCATCACGTAATTCCCTAGTTGCCTAGAGTTACACCTATGAACCTCTTAACTTAAGTCTTGAGATTAAAACTAGGTTGTGGCAGGGGTGGGGTGAGGTTTTTTTTTTTTTATATCAAGTTCTGTCTTGTAGAGATCTAGATGTCCATGTAGGTGTCATCCAAGCTTTGCTTGACCTACTCTTTCCTGTGCTTTTGGATTTGCTATTTTCTCTGCGCTAACAGATTTTTGAGCTCTGTTCCCACAACAGAAGATACTGATTCATTTGATAAATAAATATTTATTAAACACCTTCTATGTGCAATAAGCTATATTGGGGCCATTATTGATACGAAGATGAATTAGATATCTACTGTTCTTGCAGGAGCTTTATGATTTAGGAAGAAGCCCCAGTGGCAATGTAGGAAGAAGTTCTGCATCATGAAAGGAAGGTGGGGAAAATAATGCAACCCAGAGATAGGGGAAAGAATTTCCAACTAGGCCACCAAGGAAGCCCTCTTGAAAGAAGAGCTGCACAAAGTAGGCTTAAAGGCTAGAGTTAAGACCTGTGAAGATCGGTGAAGAGCATTTGAGCCAAGTTATTATAGAAAAGGGAATGGACAAGGGATGGCCAATGCTTTAAGTGGAATTTTAAATATCTCCTATGTCTAGGATGTGGGATCAGGGAGATGGAAAAAAGACGGAGTTTACAGGTGGGTTGACATTAGACTGTATAGGACCTGGAAGGCCAGGCTAACCAATGTGGGTATTATCGGCAGAAAATGTAAAGTCAGCTGGGTATATGACTCAGCAAAGAACTTGCTATGAACCAAAATCCAGGTTTCTAGCACTCGTGTAAAAAGCCTGGTATAGCAGCACGCATCTGGACACCCAGCACCAGTGGCTGGGGTGGCAGGTGCACACCTTTGTAGAGAAACTAGGTAAAGAGCAAGTTAACATAGTAAAGGAGCTTATTGCCAAGGCTGACAACCCAAATTCAATCCCAGGACCCCTGTGGTGGGAGGAGGTAACTGACTCCTGCAGGTTCTCCTCCAACTTCCACACAGACCCTATGGCATGTATCCCCACCCCACACAAATAAATTTAATTTTTAAAATATAAGCTGGAGAATGAGCGAAGAATGCACACCATGTCAGTTCCTGACATCTACGTGCACAGCTGCATGCACATGTAGGCACATACTCATGAACCCACAAGGTCACATACAACTCTCTCTCAGACACACACACACACACACAGAGAGACAGAGACAGAGACAGAGACAGACACACACACACACGCACAGAGAGAGAGAGAGAGAGAGAGAGAGAGAGAGAGAGAGAGAGAGAATGGAAAGTCAGAGAAGGCATGTGAGCAGATAACAATATGACTAGTAAGACTGACGCCTGACGCTCCCCAACTCATATGATCAAGACTGGAGCCTTTCCTTCATGGCTGTCCCCCTATAGGGAGGGTGTTCTTCACCAGTGGCTCCGTGCCAGCAGCTCCTTCCAAGGTCCCTGAGTAGAATCCTTACTAAACCACTTCAAAAAGTCCATATGTCCCCTTTAGAATACTCCTCAGTTTCCTGTCCAAACATTTTGAGGGAAATCATGGTGATGTCATAAATGACTGGCACAATTTTAATCCAAAGATAGCTCAAGCTTTTCATAAACCAGTTTATAATTTGGGCTACTTATCCGTACTCCTGATGATAGCATTGCAATCACTCACCACAGGAATGGCCATTCAGAATCTATCACTAGTAGCCTACAATTTCATAAAATCGGGTAACGTTCAGACATGCTAACAGAATTCCCAAGACTAGAGATCGAATATCAAAGTACATTTCAGGATTAGGGGATCGGTCATACACACCCCCATAGAAGGGGAAGCAATGCCCCAGCCATGTCTTAAACAGTTTCCTAAAATACTACAAACCAAAGTGAATTCTCTGCAAACATATAGAAGCAATAAATCATGCACATCCCAAACATGTCATTTATTGAAGGTTATTTGTTGCTTTCTGCCTCTGAACAGTTCAGCTGTGTTTAAGTGATGTACATCGCCATTTGACTTATTTATCCTGTGCAGATGGGGGAAAAAAGCAACACAAAGAAGTGGGAATGGGGAGGTGACGGACAAGCATGAGCAAGGAGAGAAGTCACTGAGGAAGATGCAGATGAAATCACGGATGCAGGAACCAGGAGAGTGGAGACCAGACATTGGCTCCACGTGGTTAAGGTGCAGAATGCCTGGTGCTGAGGTAGCAAATCACCAGACAAGTCACATGCACCCAGAGCTCACCAGGATGGGTGGGTTAAAGAAACATGGGTGAAAATGGTGATGTTTCTGCCCCAACCTCCTCAGAGTTTAGACGCACAGCCTGGGAACAAAACAGATCCCAGTGAAGTGTGCAAAGGCTCTGGAAAAACAGGGGCTGTTAGAAGCTGAGAACCCCACAAGGGGTAGTGGGGATTCTAGAGAGTTGTGCTATTTGGGTTCCTTTAGGTGAGCCAAGGAATCTCTTCGGATGTCAACTTTAAAAGTGATTATATCTGGCTGCCTACCGCTAGCAATTGTTTTGAGATTAAATGAAATCATGGGTGAAAATCCTCTCTGCAAACTGAAAGTTCCACACTGACGTATGACAAGGCTGTTTCCTCGGTCCATTTGAGTAAAAGCTTGTGTAGTGGTTCTTAGATTGTGTGCTGGGTTACCAATGCCCTGTGAGGGCGCTTAGATGGCTTGCCTTGCTCCTCCCTGTCCCTCAAGCAGCCCATGCCTTAGCACGATCAACCCCTGTTTCCTACTTGATGTTGGCACAGCACACTCCAAAATGTATAACCTGGAAAATAATATGAAACACTCACCAATGTCCAGTTGTCTTCATCCTTGGTGTCCCCAGGATGAGGGCTCTGCACCCCAGGACTGCCTCTCTGCTGAAACTGAGAGCCCTGCCCTCCATTTTCCTCGCCTCTTTTGCCTGTCTTCATCAACTCTTCTTTTCCCATTAGAGATGTACCTGGTCTCTCAATGTCACTCAGAACCAAGTAAATTCCCAAATATTCTGGGAGAGCCAGGTCAGGAGCAGTGGGAAAGGCAGCTGTCTACAATGCAGCCCACCAACCCCAAAAACTCTCTTAGAGCTTTATCTGATGCTAGGACTCCCCCTTGCTCCTTTCTCCTTTCCCCCTTTCTTCCTTCCTCTCCCTCACCCTCTTTCTCGGCTACCCCATCTTCTCTCTCTTTTCCGCTCACGGACTTGCTTTCTTTTTCTTCTGATTAGTCCTCTCTCCTTAGTGCTCTCTCCTTTCTTCTCCGGAAAAGTCCATACCCCACTTTAGTCTTTTTTCAGTTCTGACCCACCCACCTGCTCTCTCTTAGCCCCACCTCTACCTTCTTATCCTCCCCACCCCCACCCAGACCGTGGCGCCCTTAGGGACCTTTGACAAACTTGTCCCTGTACGCTGTCCCAGGAAGAGAAGCAACTCCAGTGTCTGCTCAGCAGCTGATGATCTCACTATTTTTGCGCGATTTGATTGGCCACTCTAGGGCTCTGTGGCGGGAGATCTTGCAGAGGGGCTTAGCTGGTTTCTTTGTCCCTACGCTCTTTCTATTTGTGAACCCCAGACACTACTGTGTTTCACAAGACAGTCTAACGGCGATCTAGTCCTAAGAGAGGTGGTGACTATTGCCTGGGTGACAAGGTTTGGTTTCATCAGAGCGAAGTACAGGCTCAGGTCCTGCGAACCTAAAAGGAAAACTTAGAATCTGGGCGCAGAAGGTAAGACTCTGGCAATGTGTACTGCAACTTCTAGCCCCAACTTCAATCTTTCTTCAACAACAAAGGTGTCTCACCTTAGAATAAAGAGCATCGGATTTGAAGGCAGGCATTTCATTTCCAGTGTCTACTCAATTTGTATGACTTTGGGCAAGTCGTTTCATTCTGCTTCCACCAAGCAAAACAGGAATGGCGATACCAGCACTTTTCATAGGTCAAGGGAAAGAGTCAAATGTGAACATATGCTCTAATGTGTTAATAGATAATGTGCTACAACATAAAGAATCCTGGATAAGAAGTTTATAATGGGTTGTTTTGTTTTCAGTTTTCATTTTTCTGTAGTGAGTCCCTCTCAATCTTTTGGGGACTTCTTTGTCCTCTTCTGTGAAGTGGGAAAACTGGGCTGAATGGTCTCCAAGTTCTCTTTGACTCTCACACTACATGGTTGACAGATAAACCGTTATCATCCTCCTTTAAATGGCCTATCAGAGGAGAGTCTTTTCCTTTTCCAGAACTCTTGCTAATGTCTGACTTTCTCTTAGGTATGTTGGTGAAGCCATTTTCCATAGGGGCCTAGCCCCTCCCACACCCCCACAATGGAAGTGTAGACACAATCTATAGTAGTGTGCACAGGGTTCATCCCTGATGCAGGTTCTCTCCCCAGGCTACTGGCAGGAGCAGGATTTGGAGCTGGGAACTCTGGCTCCACTGGACGAGGCCCTCAGCTCCACAGTCTGGAGCAGCCCTGACATGCTGGCCAGTCAAGGTGAGAAACCAGGCCCTCATCTCAATGTTCTCCAGATGCCTCTCACCCATCCTCACATCATCTCCCAGTCGTATTACTCCACCCCATGTTCTCACGCCTCTCATTACCACACAGCTTTCTCCTTCCCATTTGACATTTAGTCCTCAGTTCTGCATCCACCACCACATTTCCATGCACCAACTCCCTCTCTCACTCTGGCACAGAGACCTCTGTAACCCTACACCTCTTTCCAAAAATAGGATGCCCGGGAGAAATGGATTACTCAAAACAAAGAGGTCCTGGAAAGACATTGTCAAAGAGGAATTCTTCAAGTTAGACAAGGACAGAGGAATTAGGGGTTGGAAATTGATATATGTCAATTGCAAATGAAGGGCCTCAGCCACTTTCCATTGAGAAATTTTGAGAAAATTTCACTTTCAGATTTGCTTAGTGGCTACACAATAATCTCAAAATCCAATTATAGTCTTAATTCTCCTTTCAGAGGGTCGCTTTAGGAAGAATTCCAACGACAACAGCTCCATGTTCAGGACAGAACAGAGAGTTACAGTGTTGAGAACTGGTGGGCTGATTTTAGGAGTCTCTTCGCCTCTGTTGCCTTGCTGCCTGTGTCTAGGAGATAAGGGAATTGGATTCCTGGCCCCAGTGGCTCCCTCACTTCCAGCTTCTACAGTTCTAGGCAGTACTAAGCATCAGGGTTCATACTCCAATTTGGAAACTACCAGTCCTTAATGGTGTATCTTGCTTGGCATAATTTTCAGCATGCCTTCCCTTCTGAGGGCCTTCTCTTGGCTAGTATTTCCTGGAAATGCAAGTCAGGTGACTAGAAAAGTAAGAGAGAAACAGGCAGGTGGGGTCAATCTGTGGTTAAGGGAGCATCTATTTTGTTTGTTGGTTGGTTTTTCGAGTCAGGTTTCTCTGTGTAACAGTTCTAGCTGTCCTGGAACTAGCTCTTGTAGACCAGGCTGGCCTTGAACTCACAGAGATCCGCCTGCCTCTGCCTCCCATGTTCTGGGCTTAAAGGCATGCGCCACCACCACTCACTCAGTCCATCTGTTTGTTTTTTATAGTGCTCTGTAGGGGATGTGGTAAGCATGATTCCTGGTTTCCTACTGAGCAATGAATAGTGCTGGTTGAGGAATTCGGTGACATAGAACAGACTTTTGGATGCTCCTGAAGCAGAGAAGGGAGGTGATTATTTTAGATTAGTTCTGAGGAGGTCACTGATGTTGGGTCACTAAAAGCGATTCTGAAAATGAGGGAATCAATACTAGGAATCAGAGTCCATGTTGTGAGAACTGAGCACAAGGCCTGTTGGGGGAAACAGATGTCAGTATTGGAGAGGTTCACAGCTAGGCCTGAGGAGGAGGTTGATTTGGCATTAAACTGATCTATCCAAAAGATACCTGGATTTCTTCTTCCCTCTCCCTCTCTTCCTTCTTTCTTTCCTTCCTTCCATCCTCTTTCCTCTCTCTCTCTTTCTATGTGTATGTGTGTGTGTGAGTGTGTGTGTGTTATTGTGTGTGTGTATTATTTTTGATATAGAGTGTATGCAGTCCAAATTGGCCTCAAATTCAGTGTGTAGCCAAGGATAACCTACAACTTCTGGCCATCTGTCTCTACTTCCTGAGTAATGGGATAACATATGCGATCCATCACAACCAATCATTACGGTGCTGGGGGTCCAGTTTAGGGCTTCCTGAATGCTAGGCAAGGACTCTATCAACTGAGTCTGTGTTTTATTTAATTTCTCTAAGGAGAGAAGAGTTATAAAATATGCTTTCAGTACATTGAGGGGGGAAAAACTTCAGTCTTTTACTCTTTAAATGATATCAGGGTGGTAACTTGGGTTTGTATTTGGAGAGACAGGAAGAGTTACCAAGAAAGAAAACAAACAATTGGATGTGGTTGTGCATGCTTATAATCCCAGAACTTAGAAAGCAGGAGCAGAAAGACTTTGGTAAATTCAAGACCATTGTGAATACATAGTAAATACCAGGCCAGCCAGGACTGTATAGTGAGACCTTGTCTCAACCGCAGCTACAATAATTAATAATAATAGTGAAAACTGATGATGAATTTGATGATTGGATTGAGGTTATTATTGGAAAAATTTTAAAGTATGCTAAAATGTTTCTGTTTTTAATTTCTATTTTGTTTGTTTTGCTCTTTTGTGTGGATGAATGTATACACACTAAGATCTGGCTTAGATTTTTCCCTATTTCAGTCTTAGATTAGTAGTCATAATTGCTTCTAATGGTTTTGCCCTTACAATAAGTGGTAACAAGAAGACAGAACACAAGGTGGCAGATATGTATGTGTGTTCGCAATGATGGATGCAAGAACCATACTTAAAAAGACACACATGGAGTAGTATGTTCAGATCTGGGTGCCTTTACCCTTTTAGCATTTGTGACCCTGCCCATTCACCCAACATTCAACAAGGGATGATGCTTTCTGTGTGTCCACAGTGAGAGAGATCAGGTGTGTCTCCCCTCTACTGCCACAACCACCTCTCTATCCCTTCACTCATGAAGCCTCAAGCGTAGATAGAGACCAGAGCCTTGGGGAGAACAAACTAGCTGAGGCTGACTGTGGCCCAGTCATGGGTAGACATCCTCGGGACTCTATAAAACTAACTCTGCTCTACTCCTGCAGATAGCCAGCCCTGGACTACTGATGAAACAGTGGTGGCCGGTGGCACCGTGGTGCTCAAGTGTCAAGTGAAAGACCATGAAGACTCGTCCCTACAGTGGTCTAATCCTGCCCAGCAGACGCTCTACTTTGGGGAGAAGAGAGGTAGTGTCTCCTGAGTGAGCTTTCTCCATGGGAATCATGGGCTAGGAGACAGGGACAGCAGAGGCTAAGGCTATCTTTGTAGTCCAGAGGCTGAGAAGCACAAGGTATGTTCTTTGAAAAAGCAATAAACTGTGGGCTCCTCTGTTGTTTGCAGAGAGAAACCAGCACTACATCTCTGATCTTAGCCATGCATAGTCTTACAGGTCTTATAGCCTTATAAGGTGCTGGAGCACCAAGCTCCAAAGAAGTGCTTATGATAGCTGGTGTCACACAGCCCTAGGCTTTTCCTAAGTAATTACAAAAAATACAGACTATAATACTGGTCTATTAAGCTACCATGTTTAGTGGTTCATGAAAGTCACTGAATGATTCTGTCCTAATTCAAGGTGTTTTTTTTTTGTTTGTTTGTTTGTTTTGGTTGGGGTTTTTGTTTTTTATTTTCTTTTATTTTGGTTTTTTCTCCCACCCCCACCATTCCTCCCTTCCCCTCAATGACGGTAGCACAGGAGTAGAAGATGAGCATGCAAGGTACTGGTGGAACCCTGACTCTCCATTCTCATTTCCCCAGCTCTTCGAGATAATCGGATTCAGCTGGTTAGATCCACTCCCCACGAGCTCAGTATCAGCATCAGCAATGTGGCGCTGGCAGACGAGGGCGAGTACACATGCTCCATCTTCACCATGCCTGTGCGAACTGCCAAGTCCCTTGTCACTGTGCTAGGTGAGGCTCCTCAACCCCTGTGTCTCTGCGGCACGCTGCTTTGCAAACAAATCTCCCTCAGTTGATCCCCCAAAGCCTCCCAGAACCAGGCAGGCCTCCAATAATATCAGAAAAGGTCTGCACGCCTTCCTCTAAATACGAGAAAAGCAGAATTCTGATCTGCTGTACTTACTATTTGTTCTGGAACAAATCTCTTTAAGCGTAAACCTCACAATTTATAGCAGGGAATGGTCATTCCCCTTCACTCTGAAAATTCCATGTGGAGACACAAGATCTATATAAAATATCTTATTTTAATTTCCAAGAAAAGTTCTTCAGTTGTTTGAATGCAATTATCTCCATCATGTATTCCAATTCCCACCTCTACTGCTCTGGGCCTTTTACCATCCGCATGGCCACTTAGCTGGACTCTGGGATATCCAGTCACTATCGTGCTCAGGCACCGCATCCCCACTCCTCCTAAACTCTCATACCTCCTCACCTTAGTCTTCCCATTTTGTCCTCAAGAAGTAGATCCAAGAGAACACTGACCCTTTGTGCTTCTACCCAGCTCTCTAAACCAAAGCAGAGCTCAGATATTCCACCCCTTATAGTGGACATATCTCCAGGGAGAACTTGAAGTGTGACTTCACACGGTGCCTCTCCTTCCTATCCTGGCCATCCCCTCTCCATCGCAGGAATCCCACAGAAGCCCATAATCACTGGTTATAAGTCATCCCTGCGGGAAAAAGAGACAGCCACTCTAAACTGTCAGTCTTCTGGGAGCAAGCCTGCAGCCCAGCTCACCTGGAGGAAAGGTGACCAAGAACTCCATGGTGAGTAGCTCCTGCCACGGGGTTACAGAAATGAGGCGGTACAGGAACAGGGGTGGTGCAATATGTGTTTATATGGCACATAAGAAATAATGGAGATGAAGAAAGTGAATGGCAGTGACATTGTGGATATGTGTGTGTCAGGATCTACATTCTCTGTACACATTCATATCCATTTCAAAAATTTTCTGAGTCTTTCCAAGATATACTCAGAACCTGTGGGGCCCAGACAGTATCTGTTTGTTAAGATACAGTCTATCTGTACGTACTGACAATGTATCTCCTCTGTGTGTGTGTGTGTTTCCGTCTGTCTGTCTTTTTCTGCATTCTAGGAGAACAAACACGAGTCCAGGAAGATGTCAATGGAAAAACCTTCACTGTGAGCAGCTCAGTGTCATTCCAGGTTACGCGGGAAGATGACGGAGCAAGCATCGTGTGCTCTGTGAACCATGAATCTCTAAAGGGAGCTGACAGAGTCACCTCTCAGCGCATTGAAGTTTTATGTATGTCATGGGCTCTGGGGTGAGAAGGACCAGGTGTGAGGTAGGGAGTAAGGAAAAGAGAAGTCTGCTGACGCTTAGTGAAAGTAGCAAAGCTTCAGTAAAGAAGGCCCTACAGTAAACGCGGAAGGCTTGGAGAGCTGAGGGCTTTGTCTCACTGAGTTGACTCTGCTTGTGCTGCGGGAGAGCAGCCACAGACAAAGCGTAAACAAATGAGTTGGGCTGCATTCCAATAAAACTTTATTTACTAAAGCTTGCAACTGGCAAGATTTGGCCCAGGGGCCAAGTTTACCAGCCCTTGGGCTACGCTGGTGGAACAGAGCTAGGCTGTAACTTAACAGTGGTAAGAGTAGCAAACCCAGAGTCTCGGTCTGTAGTTTCGTCTGTACTCCACGCCATACTGATTGTGTGGTGTGAAGACAGCTCTCCTCCACGGATCGTGGTTGTTTCCCTCTGAAACGCGAGAGGTGAACTTGGATATCCTTATGGCTGCTTCTCACTCTGACATTCTGTGATGCCAAGAGTTGTGGGTGGAAGCGAGGCACAATTCTCTCCGGTCTTGCAACATTCCAAGGACTTCTACCTCTCAGTCACATCTCTATTTGGCCCCCTTCCATGCTTCTCCTTGGGATTCTGACCTAAGGTGGCCCGGGGCTCGCTGCTTCACACTTTCTCCACACCTCTGCATCCTCTTCGTGGACTCTGTCTTTAGTGCCAGGAAAGAATGTCTGAAAATCTGGAGTCTCTGCAGATTTCTCATCTGGGGAAAATCTGGAAGCCTTTCAAAGGCGCTTTTCCATGTGGAAAGGGAAAGGAGTAATGGAAGTGTGGAAGTCGAGCATGGAGGCATGTACAGCCATGCATTGCTTTCCCAATTTACCAAAAGACTGGGGATTTTCAAAAATAGTGATAGCTTTTAATCTGCTTATGGAAGACACAAGCTGATTAATTTCGGTGCCATTTAATCAGTGGCTAGACCCTTTATCCAAACTTTAACATTCGTTAATTTTGGATGGCATTCAATGGACAGGCTGATGAGTAGCCTCCTAGCTAGTACTGTCACGCACTAGCTGTATTGGCTTCACCAAAGCCTCTAATCTCATGGTGAATCTGCCGTACTCCCCTGAATTATATTGAGAAATAAGGAATGATATGTATGGAAGAACTCTATTAACTTCCAAGTTCTAACTTGCTATAAAGTATTTCTGTATTTACTAGTTCCAAGTGTGAGGTCCTGGGCCTAGGGCGGTTCTCTTGAGCCCTGCTCCCCAGCCGTAACTGAAGAATATACCATTGGAGTCCCACAGAGTCCTCTCTTAGAAACCAGGCCATTTGGTGATTACTCTGCCTAGTCCCCTTGGGCCTGTGATCAGCGGTCAGTCAACAAATGCCCCATTCCAGGTGCTCTGCTAGAGGCCTCTTCGGCTGTGAAGCCCCGGAATACCCATTTTCTCACCTGACCTGTCTCTTTGTCCTGTGTGATTTAACGGACGCATGTTCATTAACTGCTTGTTAAGGTTGGCTCTGTCCTTAGGGATAGCACATCCTCTTTATCTGTGGTTGCAAACCAGCATCTGGTCACATTGTTCTAAGCCGCCATCTGGACCCAGCCTCCTATGCAGCCTTTTGGCCTCATTGACAGATGTCATTATTCTCTCACAGAGCCAGCCATATTGTCTCAGGCCTTTTTTGTTTTTTTCCAGCCAAAATTTGACCCTCACCCCTTGCTGTTTCTATACTCTCATTCCATGTTTGGGCTGACCGTTCAAAGGGATGCTTTGTGTTTGGGCGTTGCTTTCACTCCAAGCTCCCTCACAGAGCAGACAGAATTGAGAGGTTGTGGACCCAGTCAGTGTCAAGTTCACTTCCTTTGTTCCTTTAAAAATATGTATTAGATCCTGTCTAGGTGCCAGACGGTTTGCTAGGCATGAATAAACCATGGGTTCTCCTCAGCTCCGCTAAGACATCCCATAGGCCCCCACCAAGGACAGGCCTGCTGGAATGCCATCACTCAGAGGTTGAGATACACCAGGTTGTTCTCAGTCAATGGCACTCATAGTCCGTGTTCACAAGAGCCAGGAGGAAGGACTTGTTCACAGCCTCTCACACTTCTGAGACTTTGGGAGAATCTAAAACATGTAACTAGGTGATTCCCGCAGTTTTAGGGATCTCCTATGCAGAGTGAGGAGCTTGGCGCTGCTATCCTGTGCTTCTCCACAGACACGCCGACAGCCTTGATTAGACCAGAGCCTGCGCATCCCCGGGAAGGCCAGAAGCTGTTGCTACACTGTGAGGGGCGTGGCAATCCAGTGTAAGAAGAGCAGTCCATGGTCTCTGATACCCCTCAGATAACCCCCACCCCTTGGGTACCTGCTGAGGCATAACTCCTGGTCCCCTAACTGTACGACAATGCTTCTCCTTTATTTCTACAGCAGAAGTGAGGTTGGAGCGATCCCTAGCACAGCTCCTTCTGTTTCCCTAAGGAATGAAGTCACAGTAAAATATGGTTCAAAACATCTCTGCCTTTTCTAAATTGTACCCAAGATGGATACCTCACCCCTCCACCAACACTTACCCTCTGGCCCACACAGCATCTTAAACCTCACCACACAGTTTCTGATTTCCCTGCTACCAGGTTGTTTTTAATTATTCCAGCCCTTTGGTCTGGGACATCCTGAGTAGTTCCCATCTTTCTATCTCAACAGTCCCCAGCAGTACCTGTGGGTAAAGGAAGGCAGCGAGCCACCCCTGAAGATGACCCAAGAGAGGGCTCTCATCTTCCCCTTCCTGAACAAGAGTGACAGTGGCACCTACGGCTGCACAGCCACCAGCAACATGGGCAGCTACACAGCCTACTTCACCCTCAACGTCAATGGTGAGTCACTTCGGCTTCTCTTCTCCAACATCTCCCTTTGTTAGCCATCTCTTGCTCTCTGGATGGCAACCGCCTCCCCTTGAGTGGTAGTAGGGTGGATAAAAAAATGCGCACTACCAGAAGGCACTCCCCTTTGGCCCTAGGGATGTGTAACAATGGTAAGTCTTATTGTTTCTTAATGTAACAATAAGAAAGATGGGTTCCCATCATCTCTGTCTTCAGGCAGTGGCTCCTCTGAAACCATCTTTATCCCCTGATGGGGAGAATGTCAGCTTCATTTAGAGGCCCCTCTTGACGGCAGGTGTGCTTACTGAAAAGCTCCTCCTCCTAGGACTAGCTACAGTATATGCGCCGCCGCAACCCATTTCCTTCCTGAGGACCCTGTGTGCATTAGAGTCTGGCAAAGAACAAAAGAAACAAGCGTGTGTGCGCTATGCCGAGAGATGGCCCGAATCTCTTCTCTGGAGCTTCACCTTCCTAAGGGACAAGAGGTTGCTTCTTTCTGAAGTGCTTCTCAAAAATTGGAGCCACCAGGTGCCTAGAATGTTGGGTTGGTCAGTCAAGTCCCTGCCAGTTGGAGCCAAACAGAAACAGGTGTGGGAGCTCACATTTGTAAGCCCGGTGCTAGGGAGGCAGAGACGGCCTATCTTATTTGATGAGTTCTCGGCTAGTGAGAGATGGCCAAAATGACCCTGTCTCAAAGAATCAGGTGGATGGCATTCATTTCTCTGACCTCTACAGTTAGTGAATAGACATACAATGTACATTAGTATGCACATGCACATTACACACACACACACACACACACACAAAAGATACATTCAAACCCAGCTTCAAGGGAAGTGACAGGCTAGGACAGCTGTGGCTTTAGAGGGAGATGGTAAGGATTTTTTTTTCTTTGTTGGAAGACATTAATGCCATTGAAGTCCTTCCAGAAAGTCTTCAAAACTTTCTGCAGAATAGGGGAAGTGCTGAAGAAACTTCAGGGTCTTTCCTCGTTTGAAATGCTCAGTAAGGCAGGGATGCTTAACACCCAGAATCCCAGGCATGAGAAAGAGGCTTAGGTGCTTGAGACCAGAAAGTCTACATCCCGAGTCAGCCTTTCACCCCATGGGGAGCTCCTCGACACAACAGGGCTAGTGTAGGGTTCTGAGAGCTACAACAAGGCTCTGAGATCTTGACTCATCCCCTGGATCTTTCCAGACCGTTTCTGATGGCGACCGGCAGTGAAAGAAAGTTAATATACCCTGCAGTTGGTATCTTGTTGATCCTTCTGCCCTGGGATAAAAAGCTAAGGAGTAGGTTAGTGTTTGCTACCAGTGCTGACGCCTGGTGGTGAAAGGAGTTACTGCAGCCTCTTCAGGAATCTTCCTGCGTGAAGACCTCCCAGAAATGAAATGCAAGGTGCATTATACCTTCAGACAGAGGGTGGTTGTTGACAATCCCAAAAGTCATTTTGACAGTGGAAAACAGTGGTTTTTTTCAAGAACTTTTTTGCTTCTCTAGCTTCCAGAGTAAGTACCCAGGGTTGATTTTCCCAGTGGATTACAGCTCATGCTTCTTCAGTCATCTTTCCCTGCATCATGTCAACACCCCTGTCCCATCATGGAACTCCTGGTCCATCCTCCATCTCCCTTCTAAGAAAAACATTAAAAAAGTAGTACAGATGTTTTCTTTTCAAATAAGGCATTGGAAGTCAAGGAACTAAAAAGCTGGCCCAGTCAAGCCTGAGAAAACATAAGGTAGGAAAGAACAAAAGTCTAGGAGTCAATGAGGCTGCAAGACTCAAGCTGAATTCAGGGAATAACAGGAGCTCTCCCATGGGTGGGGGAGTTATAGCTGCGGCTAACGTAATTGTGGAGACGTCAGAATGTCCTGGGTTTGTGCACTTATCCGCAGACATTTGGGCTTCTGACCAAGGTTAAGGTTTTTATTGACACTCTTGGTCCAGGTTGTACTATGAGATCAGTCCACACCTATTATGAATGGTGAATTTTGTATAGTGAATGGAGAAACACTAACACCATGGGAGAAATCAAACCAGTCTTGTGCACAAACTTTTGAATGATGTCAGAGTAGAGATGAAATATTAGGTCTCTTTCCTTGGATGGGTCAGAAGATTGGGTTTTATTGAATAAGTAGTCTTCCTTGCCAAGAAGGAATTACTGAAGAAAACAACCAGATATGTTAAGAGCATGTGGGTTGGGGAGCTTAAAGAAGAAAGAATGAAATACCTGGGAGTAGAGATGCTAAATGGGATAAGGCAGGTGTCTAGGTCACAGCCCAGGCTGGAATAAAATTCTCGGGTGGAGCTTGAGGTCCTGGGCTCATCCTAGAGAAGGAAGATGATTTTCTAATTCACATCAGACTATTACCTTGCTCTCTAGTGAAATTTACAAGTCTTATACAGTGTGGAACAATCTAGCATTTTCTTTGCAAGGTGCTTTCCAACTCTTAATTCTTGGCCCCATCAGTTTTCACTGTTTGTTCCCCATCTGATCTTAGGACTACGAGAGTGGCAAACAAACCCCTAAAGGGACTAGTGCAGAAGAGCAGACAGGATTGAGAAGACATGAGAGATAGTCAAGGAGCAAGAAAACACAGATGTATGTGTGTGTGTGTGTGTGTGTGTGTGTGTGTGTGTGTGTGAGAGAGAGAGAGAGAGAGAGAGAGAGAGAGAGAGAGAGAGAGGTGGACGATAGACTGGGGGTGGAGAAAAGGAAGAAAGGCGAGAATTTTGATATTGCTCACAGCTATTAAAGTGATGATCTCCAATTAAGGTCAAGCTTTGATGCCAAGAAAGCAACTTGGATAGTGGAGTGAGAGCTGGTTTGTGTATTGCCAGATGAATACATCACTTTTTTTCTTTTAAGAATTACTACATTACCAGCGTGATGATACTCACCTGAGCACAGACTAAGGCATGTTCCCTGTGCTTGCATATACCTCCTGGATTCCCCTGATGTTGATGTCTCTTCTGTGATAGTATCTAAGGCCAAATCAGCATGGGAGCTAAAGATCCTCCCCATCCTAGTTCTAACTATATGCCTCTTCTCCCTGCAGACCCTAGTCCGGTGCCCTCATCCTCCAGTACCTACCATGCCATCATCGGAGGGATCGTGGCTTTCATCGTCTTCCTGCTGCTTATTCTACTTATCTTCCTTGGACACTATTTGATCAGGCACAAAGGTCAGAGGCATTAATCAGGAGGACTTGGTTGGGTGGGGAGACCAGTCAGGAAAGGACAGACAGTAAGAAGATTTCAGGCAAGTCCCTGTAGACTCATTCAGCCCCTTAGGGTGTTTGAGAAAGAAAGACAGCCAACCCAGGCAGTGCCAATGCTGTGATCACTGAGCAACAGCAACCCCACAGTCAAGCCTGGTCACTTGGTACAAGTCCAATCAGACCTGCCTACTTAGTCAGCTGCTCCTTGCTTCTCTGCATTTGATCTAGATCCTTCCTTCTTGCCCTTGCCTTCTTTTCCATCTCTTTGACTTACTTTTCTTTCTTTGTTCTCCTTCTTCTTCATCCTCACGCATATCTTTTCTTTTCTCTCTGTTCTACTTTCCCTTCTATTCTGTTACTACGTGCAGCCAGTAGCCTAGCTGCCTTGACTGGCCATGCCTAAGTCATATCTCCACTACACACGTGCACACACACACACACACACACCTCTTTTATCCCTTGCCTACATTATAGATGAGATTTTAGTTAAGGGTAGGATTCATTATTCATGGGGGTGTGGTTAGGTGAGGGATATTGGCAGAGAAACGCAATGCAGATTAGAGAAGTTGGGTGGAAGAAAGCTCCAGGCAAGAGAAAGACAAGATGAGAGCTATGTGAGTGGGTGGGTAGGGAAGTGGGCAGGGTGGACTTCAGAGGCAGAGACACTTCTGCAAAGAGGAGCTTCTGTCTCCACACAGGAACCTACCTGACACACGAAGCGAAGGGCTCCGACGATGCTCCAGATGCAGATACGGCCATCATCAATGCAGAAGGCGGGCAGTCAGGCGGGGATGACAAGAAGGAGTACTTCATCTAGGGGCACCCACTCACCTCCTGTGCCCCACAGGGGCCCCATGGGGACTGCTGGGCTGTCACCAACCTGAACTTGTACAGAGCGACCCCAGGGCCGCCCCTCCCGCTTGCTCCCCAGCCCACCCAGCCCCCTGTACAGAATGTCTGCTTTGGGTGCGGTTTTGTACTCGGTTTGGAATGGGGGGGAGGAGGGCGGGGGGGAGGGGTGGGTTGCCCTCAGCCCTTTCCGTGGCTTCTCTGCGTTTGGGTTATTATTATTTTTGTAACAATCCCAAATCAAATCCGTCTCCAAGACTGGAGAGGCAGGGGCCATGGGGGCAAGGAGAGCAGCGCATGTGCAGTGCTCGGAGGAGAAGGAAGTTGGAGGGATGAGAAACAAATGAGGAGCAGGGCTAGTTTGCAGGTGGGGGCTCAAGATAGCCCTCCTTCCTTCATGGCAGACCAGCTCCCCAGGTGTCTCCGAGGAACCTGGGAATGGAAGCAGGGGGTGGAGGCGGCTCTACCTCTGCCAGCCATGTATTGTGAGCTACAGAGAGGGAGATGGGCGTCACGCCGCCACTCCTCTTGCATTACGTAAGAAAGGAATGAGTAGGAAAGTCCTCAAGAAGATGTGAACTGAAGATGGCGTGCAGCCACACAGGGCTTCAACATGTCCCTCCCAGAGAGAACAGATTTCCAGAGAGAGGATGGCGGAAATGGCCCTGTCCATCCACTGCCCCCACACGATGAATGACGCTAGGCTCCTTTCACAGAATTGGCCCTTGGGGGACAGCAGAGCTCAGCTTTCTCTCCTAGCAGTCGTGAAAGAGGCACAGCTTCTGGGCCTGGACAGCATCTGCTTCCCCACCTCGGATGGGGCCCCTCATTCTTACCCAAGACCCTGGACTGTTGCACGGCAACCGCTCCTCTCATGGCATTGCTCAGCAACTACTCCTCCACCCTGTGTCTCCCTGTGCCCTCTCCTGTTCCCTGTGCCAGCCCTCGGTCCCTCCTCCCTCAGCAGCCAGGCAGACATGACAACAAAATTACTAAAAGGAGCTTCATTGCAGTGAGCTGTTTCCTGCCCAAACCGAGGGAATAATGTGAACTTTGTGCATGTGTGTGTGTGTGTCTGTTTCTGTGTGTGTAAGTGTGCATGGATGTGTGTACATGTGTGTTTGTGTGAGCAAGAAGTAAAGGGATTGAAGAGAAGGACCAGGGATCTTGGGTGGGTGCCAGAGCATGGAACACGTAAGGCATGAGGTGGGCTTTGGGAGTAATGGCTCCTGGTCAGGGTTTGTACCTCATCTAGGGGGGCTGCTCCATCCTAGTCATTTCCAAACCACTCTTGATGCCTGTCTGAGAGGGGGGGGGGGGAGTCCCAAGATGTGGTTTCCCAGCTGTGCATTTTGTTTCTCTATGAAACACCACACATTCACCACCCTTCCCTGGACCTCCCATCTCTGACCCATGGAGCCAGGGCCACAGCCTCTGCTATGCACCCCTCAAGCCTCTCCCTGGCACTGACTCTAGATTCCCATCCTCTGTACCTAGGGACTAGAGGACTGGGTCCCCCATCTCAGCTTTTGGTTTACGGTCTTCCTTCTATGACCACGCTGGTTGCTGTGGAGTTGAGATTGCTCACCCTCTCCATCCTGATTGGTCTGTCCCTCAGACTCAGGATGCACTTGGCATCACTCTCCTCCCCCTCCTCCAGCATGTCCTCCCTGCTCTGACAACAGGTGTGCAAAATGGGGCAGCTGCAATCCAGCAGGCCTGCCTACTCCTTCAGTTCAGGTAATACTTTCGTGAATCTTCCAGCCCCTGGTTAGGGTCCTGGGTACCCCAGGCATCCCCTCGCTTCAGCCAGGGATTCTCCTCTTATAGCAGCAAGGGAGCCCTGGGCCCCAGGCCTGTTCAGACTCCTCATCTCCCAGCACCCGCTTTTGGGAAAACGACTTTTCCTCTTCGAGCTGAACCACTTTGTCCATATTACACAGAAGCCATATTTGTACTGGGCGGGCGGGGGGAAGAGGGGCCGTTGTGCTGTGTGTGTCTGTCTGTGGGTGGGGGCGGGGGAAGGGAGCAGGGAGGGGATCGTGTATCTTTATAATCTTTCTAACTCTCCTGTGCTAATCTCAGAGGGACCACCCTCAATATATCTGGATTATCCGTGTGGTCAGGCTGCTTCCTTTCCGCTATTCTCACTGCTGGCTGGGTTCCATGTAACTAAGGGCTGTCCTCATGTCCCTGGCGCCTGGCACTCAAAGGGTACCGCTTCCTTGCCATGCCACTCTCCTGAACGTCTGTGTGTGGAATCAGGGGAGAGAGTGTCTGAGTCATTTGCTTTCCCGAGAACATTTGGATTTGAGGCATGTCAACCGACTGCTACCCTGTTACCCTCTGCCCAGCAATGCTGGCCAACACCATGATGGAGGTGACGACCCCACTCACACCATCCAGGAAGGAGAGCTTCACCCATTTTTGTCAAACCACCTTTCTGTCTCCCGCCTGTTAACCCTGAAACTTGACCTGGGTACTCAGCCTTCTGCACCACAGTCTGAGGGGGTTAATGGGAATCCACCTACTGAACATGGATTCTGTATTTCTCCTGGCCAGAGAAATTCTACGTCCCCTCAAAAACTCCACTCATTGCAAAGACGGCAAGCCAGTGAAGCAGTCTCACAGTCTGTACATCTCACAACAAAATGAATAGAGATTACCTGGTGGGCTATACTCTCCCATCAAAGTATGCTATCCCATGGTCCCCCAGAGGCTATTTTGATGTGTCAGACACCATGTGTTCTGCTTGGTGTGAGAGATCCATTCGTTGAGTCTATAGGTGGTAAGGCAAATGCCCAATTGCTCCCTGAAGGAGAGCCAGTACATGGACTTGACAGGCCTCCCATCTTCTGTTTCTCTTAAACTGAAGCACCCATGCCTCTAGATAGCGAGGCACACACCCAGGCACCACGTAGCAGCTGGCACTCAGATGGGGGCACACTGATACCGAACCCAGGGACACAGATGAATAGGTGCATTCCCTGGCTCATTCGACCGCACACAAAAGGCATCCACTTAGCTGCATATTCTCAGTCTGGGTGGAGCCAACAGCCAATGCCAGTAGCACACCTTCCCCCACAAACAGGGGAACTTTTGAACTCTTTCCTTGGATCTCATTCAAAGGAGTAGAGAACAGAGAAAATCATCAGATGCCTGGTCACTGCAACTTCCCAGCACCCCTCTCTTATCTCTGCTTCATATGTCACCCCTGGCCCCTCATCCTTCCTTATTCCTGAAGGATCCTCCCTTGCTGGAAAGTTCACAAGACTTCTTCCTTGCTACCTTTGGGAAAATTCCCCCTTTGTGGCCCTCACCATGTTTTTTTCCCTGAGGCCATTCTGACCAGCCAAATCTGACTTCAAAACAGGAAGTCCCAGGACAGCCCCCCCCCCCATGTTAGCCTAAAGTTTAAGTAGGCAGTAGGCATTGGGTAGTTTCCTGAGTGTGACCCCACACATGCATCCAGGCTCTGCCCAGAAGCGGAGAGCGTTCATTAGCCCTGGGCACTTATCTCGGAGTCACAGCTGCTGACAGAGAGGTCTCCTTGTTCCTTACTCTGCCTACCCCGAGCCTGCAGTGCCATGGGGAACTGTCTGCACCCGGTGAGTGTGGGGGCCGTGCTCCAGAACCTTTGTCTCTGTCTTCTCAGGATTTTATACCCTTTCGTATTTTCCCTTACCATATCCCTGTGCTTCTTTGTTCTGTTTCAAAAATCATTTCTCTTTCCCTCCCTCAGCCCCCTGTCCCTATTTGCTCTTCCTCCTCCACCTTTTAGCCGGTCCCACGCTGGCTCCTCCTCACTTCTCTCTGTCCTTCTGCTTCTCTAAATCTCCACATAGCTCTACCCAGGCTCCTTTGTGGCTCTGACCCTGCAGGTCCCTCAGCTTCCCTTCTTACCATGCCCGCTGTACCCACGTCCTGTAGGCAGATCCCTTGTTCTCCAAACCCAAGTATACTCTAGCCTCTTCATTGTTGTGTTAGATGCGCCCCCCTCCCCCCGACTGACTGTCCTTTCTGGGTGTACCCTATAGGTGGAAACCTCCTTTCAAATAGACAAGACTGGAACTCAGTATTTGGATTTTTCGAATTATGCATATGAAGATAACGGCACCTATGACTCAACTGTTAGCTACGATAACGACACCATTAGAGCAGCTGCTCCCTGCCACTCCTGTAATCTACTTGATAATTCTTCACTGCCCTTCTTCATCCTCACAAGTTTCCTGGGCTTGTTGGCAAGTGGCATCGTCCTGTTCGCAATTCTCAAACCTCTCTTCCACTGGCAGGTCTGCCCCAGCTGGCCTATTCTGGCACAGCTGGCAGTAGGCAGTGCCCTCTTCAGCACTGCGGTGCCTGTCCTGGCACCAGGGTTAAACCATGCCCATGGCACAGTCCTGTGTTACCTGGGCTCCTGGGTCTGGTATACTTCAGCCTTTGCCCAGGCTCTGCTGATAGTGTGCTATGCCTGCCTGAACCCCCGACTGGGTATAGGTCAAATCCGTGGCCTCACCTTGGGACTCACTGTGGGACTTTGGGGAGCAGCTGCCCTGTTAGGGCTGCCAGCCACCTTGGCCACTGATGTCTACAATGGTCTCTGCACCCTTGCATCCACAGGAGGCCTGGAAGCTTTGAAGTCCACCCATTCTGCAATCTGTTTTACCATTTTCACTGTGTTACCACTGGCTCTTTTGGCAGCCAAGGGGCTGAAGAAGGCATTGAGCAAGGAGCCAGGCCCCTGGGTTAATGTCCTGTGGGTCTGGTTCATTTTCTGGTGGCCTCATGGGATGGTTCTTATGTTTGATGCCTTGGTGGGATCCAAAATCATGCCTTTGAAAACATGTCTGTCCCAGAAGATTCTAGATATCACGCTGGACCTGGCAGAAGCCCTGGCTATCTTGCACTGTGTGGCTACACCCCTGCTCGTGGCCCTGTTCTGCTACCAGACCACCCGTCGATCCTTGTCCTCTCTGTCCCTCCCTACGAGACAGTCTTCTCATATGGATCCCCTTGTAGGCAAATCCCAGTTCCTTCCCCACATGTCAACCTAAATTAAAGTCTATACTGCTTTTATGAAGCGGGTGCTTCCTTATTTCATCTGGAACTAAAGGAGAAAGACCATGGAGAGAAAGGAGGGCTGTGCACGCCTGGCTTTCCTGTTCCTAGAGTTGCTGTGGAAGAAAGAGAATGGTGGCTAAACACCCTCAGGGAATACAGATGTTCTCTCTCTCTCTCTCTCTCTTTTTTTTTGGGGGGGGGGTTTCGAGACAGGGTTTCTCTGTGGCTTTGGAGCCTGTCCTGGAACTAGCTCTTGTAGACCAGGCTGGCCTTGAACTCACAGAGATCGGCCTGCCTCTGCCTCCCAAGTGCTGGGATTAAAGGCATGCGCCACCACCGCCCAGCCAGATGTTCTCTTGAGGTGAGTGAAAACTGTCTTCTTGTGGGGACAGGAAAAATAAACAACAACATGAGTGGAGAAATGAACACTCCAAACAAGAAAACAAGGCTTCACGAGAAAAAGAGAGAGAGAGAGAAGCCATATTTCATAAAATATGTGGAATAAATATTGAAGCCAAAAGGGGGGGGGTCAGAGGTGAGGGGCAGAGAGCAAAGCTCAGAGTGTATGCTGCTCTCCTGTCTTCTTGTCTGACCCCTCCAGGTAATCCTTACTTGGTTGTCCTCTCTGACTTTGTTTGGAGGTTGGAGTGGTGGTTGGAAATGAAAGAAGCAAGCTCAGGGGCACTGGGGAGCAGCTACCCTGTTAGGGCTGCCAGTGACTTGGCCAGTGATGTTACCATGGCCTAGACTAGGGCATATACCAAGAGAGTATAAAATGTTGCTTCCTAGGAGCTGTTTTTTGCAAGCTAATTCTTCATCATGACCTGGATACCCCCCAATCTCTCTCTCTCTCTCTCTCTCTCTCTCTCTCTCTCTCTCTCTCTCTCTCTCTCCCCCTCCCTCCTTCCCCCTCCTCCCTCCCCCTCTTCTTCTCTCTGCATGCACATATGCACACTTGAAGGTTTTTTTCCCCATTACCATGACCTTGGTTCCTCTGTATGCTTGTCTCTCTCCATGTGCGCTTGGGGGAAATGTGAGTTTGTGTGTGTGTGTTCTTGCAGGTTTATTCTTCATCATGACCCTTATTACTTCTTCCCCCTCCCTCTTTCTGTGAGTGTGCCTATACATCTTTCTCTCAATCTGTTAGGGCCTGTAGTATGCATGTTATGATGGATGCATGCACTCAGTGAAACGTGTCTGTGCATGAGCTTACATCTCAGTCAGTATCTGCAGTACACACACCATACCCATACCCCCTCCCTAACTTAGTTCTGTGCTGCACCTATCCAGGGTGTGGGGGCAGAAATCCTTATTCATCAAATTCCCTCCCCTTGCTCTTTGTGTGTAGCACATTTGTGTGTGGTGTGGCATGAAGGAGATCATGAAGGTAGAAATGGTGAAACAACTGGAAGGCAGACACCCTGCTCCAATCCATCGTGTGACACAAACGCCCACGTTTCCCTCTCAAATCCCAGCTCTCAAAGGAAGCCTTTACCTCCCACCGGTCTTTTCCTCCTCCTCTTGCCCATCCAGCATCATGGGACATCTGCCCCCCATACTTGCCTGCTTCTCTGTGTGTTTCTTGTGACTTGAGAGGGTTGTCTCCATGCCCTGCTCAGTGAACCTTGGGTAGTGTTTAGGAGGACAACAAGCAAGACCCTCTTCCTATGGAGTACTCCTGCCAGCAACAATCTCACCCTATTCCTGGAAAGACCACAGATTTCTCCCTGCAACCGACCTCCAGCTTACCCAGGAAAACTTGAGCAAATACTTCACATTAATCTGAATCTACTTCCAGTCTCCATACTTTCAAAGATGTTCTTTACTGTCTTCTTTCCTAACATATCTATGCATGATGTTCTGGGTTTTAAGATTGAGAGGAAACTGTAGGAGAGGGGCAGGGATGACTTAAAACATCCTGGGCTGGAGGGTGCATAAGGATCAGGGAATTTTCCTGGGTGGGTGCCTTGACAAAGACTCTAAATCTCCCTCCTCTGGTCTCTTAGCAACCACCAGGTTTAGTTCCTGATTGGTGCCTCATAAATTGAAAGGCGGGATTATGGGACCGATTGAGACACTGGAGACATTCTGAAACATAAAAAAAAGGAAAAGAAAATGAGGAAAAGAGAAATAATTTACAAGCCTAAATTATGCCTAGGTCTCCAACCATAGTGATGGTGAATGTGTCCTGGTGTTTTCATTTTCTATTTCCTTTCTAGTTGCCTTTTACACACACACACACACACACACACACACACACACACACACACACACACAGAGAGAGAGAGAGAGAGAGAGAGAGAGAGACAAAGAGAGAGAGAGAGAGAGAGAGAGAGAGAGAATCTCCAGCTGCCCTTGCAGTCATTCCAGATGTTGCTTTCCTCTCTTATGAGGAACTGGATTTAGAGGCTGACCTAGTTTAAGGGATGGTAAGGTTGTTTTGGCTCCCCGATTCTTCCAATGCTAAGGGGAAACTTGGCCTAACACCACTAGGGCTGTCTGTTCTACCTCGATCCTATACTCCCAGCTAGATCTCCCTCCTTGCTCAGTTAGTCGGGGTTGAGAGAGTCCTGGTCATAGCTGACAGCTATCTCATCTCTTGCAAAGGGAAGGCAGAAGAAACAGAAGCCAGCAACTGATAAGAGGTCACAGTGGGTTCGGAAACAAGAGCACTTAAAGTTATCTCCTTCTCATTCCCCTCCCTCCCCCTTGCTGTCTTGCCCCAAGCCTTTTGGGACTGCTCTTTCCCTGCCATTTCGCATACTGCAGCTGTATAGTTCATCCTTATGTCTAACTCTGACCTCAGCCAATTCTAGAAGCTTTCTATGGGGACCTGCTATCCAAACCATTTAACCCAATGGGTACCACTAACCACTCTAAATTGGGTTGGAACTCGGCATCTTTTGTGCAACCCTTCAGGAATACAAATCCTGTTTCCTTAGAATTTAATCTAAAGGTTGGCAGGGATTTTAGCTGCGTATGAGTTATTGGGCCTCCTGGCTAAGAAAAAAAACCTCACAGAAAGAGGAGAGTCAGGGAAACAAGCTCTTGGGAATGCAGAAAGCCCTGGGGAGGGTCAATTTACATTAAGGGGAGAATTCTTTTCTTTTTGAGAAAAGTTTGAACATCACATTGATGCTTCTAATTCATTTACTCCTGGCTGAGCCCCACACCCTAGAGAATTTAGAAATCACTCATTTGTCTCCCAAACGCTTTCATCCACCACCATACCTCTACCCTCCTCCCCTGTCCCCCAACACCTTTCTTTGGCAGCCTCCAAGGAATTCTCACTGAGAACTTCACTGGGATTTCAAACCCAACTCATCGCCAACTCTAATTGCCGGGAATTTGCATGAAAACCATCCTATGCTATCTAATTATTCTGACAACAGCAGTCCTCCGTCTGGGCACGAGGAGAATCGCAGTTTTAATTAACAATAATGCACCTTGCAGATGAATGTGGCTGTTTAGGTTAATGAACAAGTCCAAGTGTCTGCATACCATCATCTAGACAGTTAGGTGATTTGGGTGGGAGAGGTATGGAGCATACAGGGGGTGGGGGTATCTAAAAACATCAGTTCAGAAAAACATTCGTGTTGGTTTTTATCCCTTCAATATCTGTTAGACGAAGAGAAGAGAGAACCCCAGATAAGAACTCCCAGATAATTTGGGTAGGAGGATCTGAGGAGACATGGTTGCAGGAGACCAGGTATCTTCGTGCCTCTTTTACATTTAGAATATGCTTTCTATATTTTTAAACGCATGACAGGGTTATGTCTTCATAACTCTCAGGTCTCTCCGATTTCTTGTCTACCTGTTTGCTAATTGGTTTTCGAGCCCGAGAGCATCAACTTCCCCATCTCTACCATTGCTTTCTACTTTCCTCTGGTGCATCTCTAGCACATTCAGAGCACCCAAAGTTGCTGACACCCAAAGACATCCCACATGGTGTCTCCCCCATCAAGAATGATTACTTGAATAAATTTCTTAAGTAGTTTTCCGAGTGCTGGAGAAATTACATTCCACCCCTTGTAACTCTAGTCTTGCTAATAGTATGTACCTTGTGTTCCCCTTGAAAGCAAGTAATGTTGTGGAGGACGGGAGATGTGCACATCTTAGGAAATCTTCTGAAAGTCACAGAGTCCGACTTTAAGAATTATGCTATCATAACTCAGAGTTGGGATTTAGTCTCCCTATGCTGACTGCTTTTATGGTTCACGGCTAGCACTGTGCTCACTGCCTCAACCCCTCTCAGAGTTCACGGCTAGCACTGTGCCCACTGTCTCAGAGTTTTGGTAGTTAGTCTGAGACTTGGAACTTGGCTTTTCCTCTTGTTGTTGAAGTTTTATTCCTAATGGCAGTTTCTCAATTCTTTGGATGGCTAAGTCCCTTCTGTGTGTGTGTGTGTGTGTGTGTGTGTGTATGTGCGCCCGCGCACGTGCACACACACACACACACACACACACACACACACACACAGAGAGAGAGAGAGAGAGAGAGAAAAATTTGGTATTATTTTAGTGTATGTGTGCGCCTGTGTGAGCACATGGAGGTGGATGCATGCACAGGTAGAGGGCAGAAGAGGACAGCAGATCCCCTGGAACTGGAGTTACAGTTAGCTGTAAGCTATGACCTAAACTTGGGTCCTCTACAAAAGCAGCAAGTGCTCATGAAAATAGCCCTGCCTCAGTCCCCCAAAGTCTTTAGTCACCCTGTGTTCTCAGTCATTCCCCTCTTTCCCAATTACAAAGCGCTGGTCATTGACAGCACCGCCAGAGATGTTTTTCTGAGCAAGTTAGAGAAAGACATGTTGGGATTCCAGGCATGAGACACCACACCCAGCTGATGCTGTTTCCATAGCAGCAAGAATTCCACATCAACACTGTCTTAGTTATTCGCTTACTGTCTGACCAGTTTATTGCCCATCCAGCCCTTCCTTCCACTAGTAGGTATTGAGCTTCAAGAGTACCTAGCCTGGGCATTGACACAGAGATCAGTAAGCATTTGAT